GGGGGGAACCCCTCTGCTGGGAGCCCAGCAGGAGAGAGTTGGGCTGGGGCAGCTGAGAGGAGAAGGCTCCAGCTGGGGAGACCCCCTGGGGGCTGCCAGAAAGCTGGGGGGGGGACTTTTTACAAGAACTGGGTGGAAGGAGTGTTGGGGTGTGGGTTTAAACTCCAATTCCTCTTCCTCGTGTGTTCCCCAAGTGGAGCTGAAGCTCTGCAGAGATGTCACTAAGGGCTGGAAACCCTTCTTGTAGCAGGACCCAGATTCCCAGAGCACCCAAAATGGGGCATTTGGGTTCAAAATCTTGCTCATGGAGGTGTTAACGGGGCCAAAAGAAATATCCCCCTTAGCTCAGAGCTCTGGTTTAGGTGATGTGGCCCCAGGAGCTCTGGGCTTGGTCCCCCAAAGTGAGCTGGGGAGAGCAGAGAGCCTGGGAGATGTTGGAAGCTGGCAATCTTTGTCAGATAAATCCTCTCCTGCTGCTTGGGGAGGGATGGTGACCTTCCTCCCAGGGCAGGGGCTGTGCCCAAATCCACCTCAAAGGGGGCTCAGCAGCTTCTCTTCCTGGGGTGGAGGTGCCCTTGGCCTGGGGGAGGATCCTCAGCTCCCCTCTGGTCTCTCCTGTGTTTCTTTGAGCCACCTTCTCTCCCAGAGCTGGGGAGGTTGTTCCTGCTGCTGGGGTGACATAAGGGCTTGGGGGACCTGGGCTTGAGGACATGAGAAGTGTCCCCAAGGTTTCTAGGAAGGTTCATGGGAAGGATATGGAAAAAAAAAGGAGGATTGAGGGTCCTGGGTGGTTACCCAGTCACCAGAGCTGCTCCTGGAAGTGCTGCAAAGGGACCAAATCCCTGTTCCTGAGCAAAGGGTGGTGGGGGAGCTGGTGGGGGTAGGGATGGTGGTGTCCAAATGACACCCAGAAGCCTCCTGAGGCTCATCTGCTGATCCTCCTGGGCAGCCCAGAGACCCCCTCAGTCGTGTGCACCCTCCAGGCTGATTCCTCACCCAGGTCAAACCCTGCAAGCCTTGAGCAGAGGCATCAGATGTACCCAGCAGAGCAAACACCCCCTGACTGGAGTGCCAGGCAGCTGGAGAGGAGCCAGGGTGTGCCCAGGGGGCCAAGAAGGCCACCAGCATCCTGGCCTGGAGCAGCACTGGTGTGGCCAGCAGGAGCAGGGCAGGGATTGTCCCCCTGGGCTGGGCACTGGGGAGGCCAAACCTCAAATCCTGGGGTCAGTTTTGGGCCCCTCCCTCCCAGAAGGCCCTTGAGGGGCTGGAGCGTGGCCAGAGAAGGGCAACGGAGCTGCTGGGGAAGGGTCTAGAGCCCAAGTGTGGGGAGGAGCAGCTGAGGGAGCTGGGGGTGCTGAGCCTGGAGCAAAGGAGGCTCAGGGGAGACCTTCTGGCTCTGCACAGCTCCTGACAGGAGCCTGGAGCCAGGGGGGGGTCGGGCTCTGCTCCCAAGGAACAAGGGACAGGACAAGAGGAAAGGGCCTCAAGTTGCCCCAGGGGAGGTTTCAGTTGCCCCTGAGGAACAATTTCTTGCCCTGGAGGGTTGCCCAGGGCTGTGCCAGGCTGCCCAGGGCAGTGGTGGAGTCCCCACCCCTGGAGGGGTTCCCAAGCCGTGGAGATGTGGGGTGAGGGATGTGCTTTAGTGGTGCCCTGGTCAGTGGTTGGACTCTGTGATCTGAAAAGTCTCTTCCAGCCCAAATGTTTCTGTGATTTCCAGATGGAGAGCCCTGAACACCCAGCTTGCATGACCCCACCTCCCCCATGCTCTGCAGGCTCCCAGACTCCTCTCAGACTGTCACTGGCTTTGCTGCCTCTAAAGGGACCCTGAGGCTGCCCGGGGACCTCCCTGCCCTCTGCAGCCAGGAGGGTGGCTGGGGAGGGGGCCGTGGAGAGTTGGGCATCCAGGGGGACGTGGACACCTCTCACTGCTCTTCCCTTTCCTCCCCAGGGAGCTCAAGCTGCGGAACTACGAGCCTGAGGATGAGGAGCTGAAGAAGAGGAAGGTGCCCCAAGCCAAGCCAGCCTCAGGTGGGTGCAGAGCTGAGGAGCACGGAGGCAAAATGTGGCCAAGGCTGGTGGGGTGGGGCCTGTGGTGAGACCTCCAGGCTGGAGACAGAGCCCTGACAGCCCCCCAGGGGGTCTCCCCAGCTGGAGCCTTCTCCTCTCAGCTGCCCCAGCCCAACTCTCTCCTGCTGGGCTCCCAGCAGAGGGGTTCCCCCCTCGGGGCATTGCTGGGGCTCCTCTGGCCCCGCTCCAGCAGCTCCCTGGCTCTGCTGTGCTGAGGACTCCAGAGCTGCCCCAGCACTGCAGGGGGGTCTCCCAGAGCTGGCAGAGGGGCAGGATCCCCTCCCTGCCCTGCTGCTCATGCAGCACTTCTGTGAGGACACCCAAACCAGCCCAGCTCTCTGTCTCCAGCCAGCACGCTGCCATGGGTTGGACCTTCCCAAAAATCACAGGGTTTGGAAACCTCTTTTGTCCCTGCCTGCTCCAACCCCAGGTGGAACATCCATTGGGCTCTATTCTGATCCCATCTTGCTGGTGCTGAGGTCCCTGGAGGTGCTGGGGTGTCTGAGCAGCCCTGGGGCTCTCCTGGTGCTGCTGGGTGCCCGTTGCCTCATCATCCTCCCTGCCCCTTGGGGACCTTGGGAGCCTGAGTTGCACCAACTGGGTGTGGGGCTGAGCACCCCAGGTCCAGCCCCAGACTGAAGGGTTGAGACTGAGAGGAGCCAAGCTCTCCCTTGAAGGATTCTCAAGGAGGTTCAGGCTGGTTTTTATGGTTTGAATTAATCTTTAAACAAATATTAGTCACGAGTCCAGGGCCTCGAGTCTGATTTCCTCACACTGAACCTGCTCCTGAGAGGGAGTGAAGGGTGGAGGCTCTTTTGGTCTTCAAATATTGAGTCTTCCTGGAGGAGATGGCTTGAAAAAGGCCCTGAATAAAAAAAAACCCAGCTGCCCTTGGGAGCAGGGTGGAGCTGGGGTGGTGGCAGTGGTGAGGTTGCACCTCCTGGGTCCTTTTCTGAAAGCTGAAATCTTCCCTGGCGTGGGGTTTGGAATGGGGAACAAGGATTTAGCCTGTTCCCAGCAAAGCTCCCACTCTCCCAGCCCTTCTTTGGAGCCCCTGGGCTGTGGTTGGGAGTCACCAATCCCCAAAATTTCCTCCTTCTCTCCAGTCTCAATCTCCCTCTTGGAGTTTCCAACCATCCCCCCCTTGTCCTGTCCCAACAGGGCCCTGCTCAAAAGTCTGGCTGGAGCTGAGACTTTAGGTGTGCCTTGCTCATACCCATTCACCCCTCAGGGATGTGCTCCCTGGTGCCTGCTCCTCACTTGGATGCCCCACTGGATTTGTGGAGGGTTGTTTTCTACACCATTATCCCCAGCATCTACAGAGCTTCACCCCAGGTCTGGGCTGGAGCTTCTTTCCTCCACCATGTCTCAATTGGTGGCCTTGTAAATGAGTCACAATGAGTCAAATTCCAGTCTAAACACCTGCAGAGCAGGTGGTACCTGCTGGTTTGGCAAAAAGAAGGCTTGAACCCCTCCAAAACTTCTTGCTGCTGTTGCTTGGTTGGGGTGTTTAATGGTTTGCATCATTTTCAGCTGCTTTTTAGGACTCCCAGAAGGGTTTGGGTGGTGGAAGGACCCACGTGTCCCACGCTCTTAAGGCAAAGTTGGTCAAATGGGACTTGATCAAAGCTTTTCTCAACCAAGCCTAGAGCTTGGGTGGGTTTCTCTCTACCTTGGTGTCCTCCTGATGCTGGTGCTGTTCCCCCATCTAGTGGAAGAGAAGGTGAAGGACCAGCTGGAGGCTGCCAAGCCAGAGCCCATCATCGACGAGGTGGTAGGTGCACTGAGAAACAGCTCTGGGGCCTCTCTGCTTCCAGCCTTGGACCTCACCTGCAGCTCTCACTGGGTATCTCCTCTTCCTCTCTAGGATCTGGCCAACCTGGCCCCCAGGAAGCCAGACTGGTGAGTGCTGGGAAGGGCTGGTGATGCCACCCCTGGGTGACCGTCACCTCCAGGGTGGGCTAAAAGTGCTGAAAATGGGGAGCTCAGCCCTGCTCTGAGGGGCACGGGGCTGTCCCTCCTCCTCCTGCTCACTCTGAGGGACTCCACTGCTCCTTTTTTGGGGGGTGCTTGTCCCCACGGTGGCCTTGGTGACCAAGGGTGCTCTGCACCCTGGGCGGGTTGCCCACGAGCTGCCCTGTGAGGCTCCCCGTGCTGCTCGCAGGAGGGAGAAGCAGCTTCTCTTCCCCTGGGAGAGCTGTAAGGTGGTTCCACGCTCCCATCTGCCTGGGGGAGGGGTTGCTCTGACACTGTCCCTCCCTTCCCCAGGGATCTGAAGCGAGATGTGGCCAAGAAGCTGGAGAAGCTGGAGAAGAGGACGCAGAGAGCCATCGCCGAGCTGATCCGTGCGTGCTGGGGCTGGGGCTGGGGCTGGGGC